AAGCCGCCCTGAGTCCCCTGAGGGAAAAGGGTGGCCTATAAATAATAAACAAATACAAATACAAAATTTTGCTTCATTACTGCATCCTGCTGCACCTTCCCATTAATGGTAACTGATGTCCTTTGGCAGGGTGCAGGAACAGAGGTCAAATCTTCAATATTTGGGCTGTATTCCTGCATCTTACTGGACATTTTCTTTCCCGCATACAGAAAGAAACTGAACTCCAGGAGAGTGCCAAAATGGAACTCAAACGCTGAAGAGCTCCATTCCTGCACCCTCCTGAAGGAGTTTCCTTCTGCATAAAGAGGTAAGCTGAATTCTTTTCTTTGTCAGCTTTTTCAGCCACCCCCAAAGATGAGAGGAAGCTGAAATCTAAGGAGAGAATGGAGATGCAGTGTGATATGGAAAAAGGGCAGAGGATCTCAGGTGGTTGATGATGGAGGCCCATCACAGAATGTGAAGGAGTATCTGCTCAGGGCTGAAAATGCTGCTTTGATTTTTGGCAGGGAGGACTTTCAGCTCCTGAGAGAAGCCTCCCCCAGGGAACTCATTCTCCTTACCTACAACTGTGTGATCCACAAGACCACTTAATCACAACCATGATTGCCAGGATTGTGGTTGTTGAGCAAAGTAGTCGCATGACATCTTGCTTAGTGCTTCACTCAGTGACTGAGATTCTAGTCCTAATTTTGATAGTATATAAAACTATTTAAACATATACCCACACTTTTGTGGTGGAGGGGGGAGTGTCTTAAAGCTAGGGTTGACTCCTGACAGCCTGAACATGTCCCTACAATGTGATTGGCAAGACTTTGGGATTGGTTTGCCGTTGCCACCTTCTTCCTATAGCTGAGAAAGCCTGAGTTATCCAAGGTCACCCTACTAGCTTTGTGCATAAGGCAGGACTAGAACTCAGGATCCTCTACTTTCTAATCTAGTACTTTAACCACTACACAAAACTGGTTCACATACATATAATAAAATCTATATAAAAATGATATCTGGTAATATAGCCCTTATATACTACTTTAGTACTTTATAGCCCTCTCTAAGCGGTTTTACAGAGTCAGCATATTGCCCCCCCCCCCCAATTTGCGTACTCATGTCCCCACCTTGGAAGGATGGAAGGCTATGTCAACCTTGAGCCTGGTGAGATTTAACTGCCAAATTGCAGTCAGCCGGCAGTCAGAATAAATAGCCTATTGTACCGCACTCTAACCACTGCACCACTGTGGCTCAATATGCTAGAGATACTACAGCTACTATTTTAAATTAGTAGTTAAAATAATATGTTTATGTCACATATGCCAAGCTATGGCAGTATCGATCAAGGGCCCAGTCTGACTATATTGCTTTATGTGCAAGGTCTGCTTCTACCTCCTTTTTCTTTTTTCTTTTCAGTCTTTTTACACCCAAAAAATATGTCTGAGCCTTGCAATGATTTTGTTTCTTAACCTGCTGTTCTAATGAATAATTTCCTATTACATCCTCTGGGTTCTTAATCAATTTGCTGTTCTGTTAGTCTATTAATTAGACTGCATTTTTGTTTAGACACATTGCCTATATCTTTTATATTTTGGTTTTATTCTCCCATTTCAAAGTTAAATTTTCTTCATAATTTATTTATTTGAATATTCCCTTTTTTCATAGAATGTAAGAACCATATTCCCTGATAGTTTGTGTTACTTATTTCACTAGGCAATAGATATTTTCCCAGATGAATAAATAAATAAAAAGGAAGAACATCTTTTCTAGCTTATTTCCTTGTGATTACTGTGCCAAAACTATTATTCTTTACATTTTTCCCAAGGATATGTCATAGCAGCAAAACAATAGCAATAGCAGTTAAGACATATATACAGTTTCACAGTGCTTTTACAGCCCTCTCTAAGCAGTTTACAGAGTCAGCATATTGCCCTCAACAATCTAACTCCTAATTTCACCAACCTTGGAAGGATAGAAGGCTGAGTCAACCTTGAGCAGATGAGGATCAAAGTCCTGGCAGTGAGCAGTGAGTTAGCCTGCAATACTGCATTCTAACCACTGTGCCACTATGGCTCTTAAAAGTAGAAGTAATAAAAATTGTGTGTTTTAGAACCAACCAAATAACCTGTAACTAAAATTCACTTATTAGACAGTTCTTATATGGTCAAGCATAATATTAAACTGTCCTGTAATTTGATCTGAGTTACTGTCATTAATGTATTCATGACTTGCCTCTTCTGTGTTAATCTTTTTCATAATCATTATATTTTCAGTGAAAGCTCTTATAATTTTGTTATTAACTATATATTTTTTAATTGGAGGTTATATTTGCATTAAAGAATGCTTCAGTGAGAGGTTAGTTTCAAATATATATCAAAATGTTTTTCATTTTATGTAGATTCTGATCATAATTGTGTGTGACTTTTTAATTTCAGAATGGCCAGAGTTTCCTCGTATTGGATGAACAAAGGTTTGCCAAAGAGATTCTTCCAAAGTACTTCAAGCACAACAACATGGCAAGCTTTGTGAGGCAGCTAAATATGTGTAAGGATTTTTTTTAGTAATATGCACTATTATATATTTAGATCTACACTTAAAATATAGAACATTTTATACTATTAATCTTGAAGTAGTTTCATTTTTTTTTGTTTACACTAGCACATTCTGTCAGTCATTCAGATTTAATTTTGATCATGAACTTAAACAATTTTCTAAGGAATATAGTTGCTATATTTTAGGAATTGCATTTGCTGAAATGTTCAATGCCAAGTGACAGGGTCCTCTGAAACACTAAAACCCATGAAGGATAGTTAATACTTTTTTCATGCTGTGTATCATTATTGAATATTATATCAATTTATCTCCCAATTTTGGGAAGGAAATCTTGTTTATACATTATAGCTTGAATTCATTGTAGTCTTCCTGCAAGTTGAAGAATACTTTCCAACAAGGGGAAATGTTTGCTACAGTAGAACATTCCCATTAGTTGACTTGGAAAGGAGGCAGTTTCTGCGGATTTCCTTCTATCCTTGCAATCTTTTGTACCCAAAAGTCTACAAAATCTATTCTAGATGGTTATGGCATTCTTTCGCATGTAGAGAAAGGTGATGAGAGAATGGAATAGATTAAAATTATTTTTGTTTGCTTTTCATGGGTATTAGTTTGCTGAGAGAAATTCTTTGGGGAGAAAGTTCTGGTTGGCTAAAATTTCAAATAAAAATCATAGTAGTAAACATATCAGTGCAGTTTTCTTAGAAAAATACAGTGTTATACCATATTAGGATAGTAGCATGTATTTGTTAAACGTATTTAGAGCATGTGTTCCTGTAGTCTAGGACTAGTTAAGATATAGTGTTTTTCTTAGTTTTGCTTCCAGATTTAAACTATCTGGCTCAGATCCAGAAGAAGTGGTGAACTGTACTTTTATACCGTGTTTCCCCGAAATAAGACAGAGTTTTATTGATCCCCAAAATATGGCTATGGAAGACTCTCAGCAGCTTGCCCACAACCATAGAGTGAACTCTCAGAGCGGCTGCTGCCGGAAGACTCAGCAGCCGATCTCCAGAGTTTGGAAGCCGGAGAAGCCATGCTGGGAGAGCGGCGGTGGTGGTGGTGCCCTGACCCTGCAAGGAGAGCTGGGCCAGGCATGGTGAGGCTGGGAGGCACGCGAGCTGGGGGTGGAACAGGCGTTCGTGCAACCCCACTCTCCAGCCGTTCAGAGCGCCATTCACTGACCTAGGAGTATTCCGAAGCCGCCAAGCCGTGGGAGCTAGGGGGCAGGCAAAGCGCCACATGGCTTGGTGCCTTTGGGATATCCGTAAGTCAGTGAATGGCGCTGTGCCTGGCTGGAAAGGGGGTTTACTGGGTGGCTGCTCGTGAGCGTGGTCACCTCATGGCTGCTGTGTTGCGCTGGTGCAACAGTGCAACATAGCCGTTCGCCACTGAGGTTTTGTCCGGCTCTTTGGGAGCCCGTTCGCAAGAAAGCAGCTACCCAGCAACACCCCTTCCCTCCGGCCAGGTGGAACACCACTCATCAACCTAGTGGTATCCCGAAGATGCCAAGCAACGTGAACGCCTTCCCCCCCCCCGGCTCCCGTGGCTTGGCGCCTTTGGGATACTGCTAGGTTGGTGAGTGGCACTCTGCCTGCCTAAAGGGGGGGTTATCCAGGGGGCTTATTTTGGGGGGAGGGCTTATATTTTTGCCCACCTGGAAAATATGGCATGGCCTTATTTTCAGTACATGTCAAATTTTCAGGGAAATGTGGTAGTATTTTTTATACGTATCAAGCAGTATAGTAATAAAACTGTTGCATATACAATTGCCCTGTACTTCCCAGAAATACAGCAATATCTGTGACGCTAGAAGGAGAACTAAATAATCAGGCACTGTTTCCTATGTTGATTTTTTGTTTTATATATATGGCTTCTGTAGAAATTAACAGAATGGATTTTGGTGATAGTAAAAGACAGTTGTGCATTAGTGAAACTGTTTACATAAGAATTGCAGTTTTGATAATGGTATAAGTATGGAAATCTTCACTTTGTTGAATGAAGCCTTTGAATATTCCTGTTGATTTTTGCATTGTGGGTATAATTTTTTAGATGGTTTCCGTAAAGTGGTCCATGTGGATTCTGGTATTGTTAAATTGGAAAGAGATGGTCCTGTTGAGTTCCAACATCCCTATTTCAAACAAGGACGGGAAGACTTACTGGAACATATTAAAAGAAAGGTTAGTGAAAAATTGTATAGAACTTTGGACATGTTTTGCTGAAATTCACCTATATTATGCATATAGCATAGGCATCATAATATTTTGGAATTCATTTCCAAAACAAATTTCACTTTCTCTTATCACAGAACACCTATTTCAAGCTATTATCAACTTGTATATTATTACTCATTTATATCTGGAATGATTTTTTTTACAGGTTTCTTCCACAAAGCCTGAAGAAAATAAAATTCGCCAAGAAGATCTGTCTAAAATTATAAGCAGTGCTCAGAAGGTTCAAATTAAACAAGAAACCATTGAATCCAGACTTTCTGCACTTAAGAGGTAAAATACACTTTAGTCAATGTGATGTAACTATTGTTTATCAAAATTCAGAAAACTCGCCTTTTAATATCAAACATTTTAACATGAAAATTTCTACTGTAACCTTAAAAATTATATGTCTCATACCAATAGAAGAGATTATCTGTGTCATATTATTGATTATTAATATTGTTTTTCAGAATATATTTCTAATGTTCACATGCAAACATTTTAATCTTTGCATTAACTATGAATGTCTTGAAACAGAGAAAATGAATCTCTTTGGCGAGAGGTAGCAGAATTGAGAGCAAAACATCTACAGCAGCAACAAGTTATTCGAAAGGTAATTTTTCTGAGATTCGCTTTCATACATAATCTATGTGAAGGAAAAGAAAATGGCTTTAATGAATATAATACAAATTGATAGATTAAATAATTTTTCCTGATAGCAATTGGAGAGTAAAATTTTTTCCAAAATCAGAATCTCTAAAATTAATCAGGGCAGATACGGAATATATATGGCAAAGTCTTATTACTTCTACAGAAATCCTTTTATATAATACTTGATGCTTTAGGCTACATTGTAATGTAGGAATTATTTCAAATACTTTTATTGGCTATCCATCAGTTGTCCTCATTGGAGAAATCCTAGCTCAAGTTACTAATGTAAGTGCTTTATTTGTGAATATTGATGTTACTAAGAAAATATATTATACTAATACAGATAACTTTCTAAAAACTATAATGAATATGGAAAAGAGCGTTCCTTGTTTACTCCAAGGAGCAAAATATACCTCACCCAGACTATCTGGAGATCTTTCCCAGCAGCCTCATGTACATGTCAAACAACAGGAGCAAGATATTTAATCCCAGTAGAAGCTGACAAGAGAACTTCCATGGAACCAGCCTTTTCTTCCCCCATTGCCATTGACTGGAACTGTTTTGGAAGGAGTGGAACACTGTATAACAGTGTCTTGAATTCCCAACCATAGTAGGCAGTCTAGAAAGTTCCTCAGAGGTCAGGGAGGATCAAGACAGCTGTGTCAAAGGTCATCTACTAAAACAACCAATCCCATTTTGTTTATTTCTAGGATTGCTCAAAAAGATCCATATAATCTGTTAAATCTAGAGCATCTGCCTCTGGAACCACATTATTTTCTCAACAACTTTCCTCAAAGGACAAGATTAGAAGCAGGGCAATAGTTGCCTAATATTGGTTATTTTAGGGAACATTTCTTCAGAACGGAGTGCATCAATATCTCTTAGAGGTATCAAGGAACCACAGAGGTGTTGATAGTTTCCCTAACCTGCTCTTCTCACATGCCCAAGACATCTGAAGCATCTAAGAATGACATGATCCCAAAGTGATAGTGCTCGTGCACTCTATCTATGTTATTTCAGTTGGAAAGTTGGAATAAATCTTGAAATATAGGCTTTTATGTTTGAGAATTTGCTGAAGAAATCCAAATAAATAATTAACTTTTTTTGTGTTTGTGCAACTTGGCTAACAATTTGTTCTCTTAGGAACAAGAAACTTAATTTCCAATGTAAATTAACACATTCTGTTAAGTTCAGACTTATTTCAACAGAGGTATATAATTTTGTTTTGAGATTGAAATGCAATAAAACATTCTGTCTTTTTTCTGCAGATTGTGCAGTTCATTGTTACTCTCGTTCAGAATAATCAGCTTGTGAGTCTGAAACGTAAACGGTAAACTTATTTTTCAGAGTTCCGTGGGTGGGGGGTGTTAATGTAATCTTTACAACTGATTTACAATATTTTTTTCTGATTTAGCCCACTGCTTCTGAATACTAATGGGGCTTCAAAGTCTAACTTATTTCAGCAGATAGTCAAAGACTCATCAGAAAACAAACATCATGTGAGTTAATTTTAAAACATATTTAACAGTAACCTTCAGAGAACTATCTTAATATGGATGCTAGAAATACAGATGAAAAACAGTGTAAATGAAGTTTTGTTTAATATGAGATTAGTGATTTCAGTTATAAGCAGAGACTTCCAACAATTTTCACTGTGGCTGTAGACCTACAGATTTCAGGTAATCCTCAAACTATAACAGTTCATTTAGTGATCATTCAAAGTTACAATGGCAATGAAAAAAATCACATGAACATTTTTCACACTTGGATCATTGCAGCATCCTCATGGTCATGTGATCAAAATTGAGACACTTGTTAACGGGCCATGGGATCATATTTGTGACCTTCTGACAAGCAAAGTCAACAGGGAAACTGCATTCACTCAACAACTGTATATCTTAACAACTGCAGTGATTCACTTAACAAATGTGGCAGGAAAGGTTGTGAGATGGGGCAAAACTCACTTAACAAATGACTCATTTAGCAACAGAAACTTTGGGCTCAGTTGTGGTCGTACCTGTACGGCAGAATCAAAATTGTGCAACCGCAAGTCACTTTCCACAGATGTACTTTTTCTACCCTTGTAGAAAATTGTTCCACATTCTCCCTTAAGTCAGCTCTTAAACTTTGAGCTCTCTTTCTTGAGTGTTTTTCAAGATGCAGGAAATAAAGGCCATCACCCTCCCATAGTTTGATTAGTAAAAATGGTTTCCATTGGAATAAACTTGCCACTTATTCTACTCATTACATTTCTTTTATGAACCATTCCATTTTTTAGTAAACATGGCTGGTCCATATTTGTGCCCATTATTTTGTTTTTAAGAGAATAACATTTATTTCCTCTGTTGAATATAACACCTCTCCTTCAGCTATAATGACTTCAAATACAAAGACATTAAATAATGGTTTACATTAAACCAAACTTTACAATGCAGTGCAAATGTCTGTGTTCCAGTAAAAAGAAAATTACAAAGTTTAATTATTCTTGTGTTTGTGGCATATTTCCAATTCCTAACTAAGATTTTTAATTTCTTTGTGGGTTGCATTTTTCCCTTAAATTCTTTGGTTAAAAATTATTTTTTTATAGTTTAAAAGACAAAAATGCAGTTTTATATCTAGTAAAATGTTAAATTACAGTAATCAAAACTGCACCATCTTTACAAAATGGAGTTATTGATAGACTAATTAATTTTGATGGTTGCAGCATCAGGTCAAAAGGCAGAAAACTCAGAAGAGCCTCTTAAATTAATGAAACCTTGTTTTAAACCTGAACTGGCATCCCACTCCTTAAGAGTTTCATAATTAATGTCACTCAGATGTGAAGAAAGAGTCAACACTGGATTGTAGCTGGATGATGGAAGAGATAAAAGACAGAATCATCCCATGAAGGCTTAAATTAATGTCTCTAGAACAGAAGTGAGAACTACTAATAAACACCATTTGAATAATGTAATATCCTTCATTTATGGCTGAGATTAGGTTCAAGTGTGTTCATTTCTTTCTCTTAAATTGAGTAAGAACCTCTGTATTACAATCCTCAATTTACAACAATTGAGCCCAAATAAGCGAGTTTTTCCCCATTTTATGACCTTGCCACTTAACAGTTGTTAAGTGAATCACTGCAGTTGTATTCCTGCTAGGCTGGAATACTGCAATGTGCTCTACATGGGGCTGTCCTTGAAGAGCATCCGGCGACTTCAGCTAGTCCAGAATGCGGCCGCGCGAGTGATCGTGGGCGCACCGCGGTTCGCCCACATAACACCTATCCTCCGCGAGCTGCGCTGGCTACCTGTTGATCTCCAGATGCGCTTCAAGGTGCTACTTACCATCCATAAAGCCCTCCATTGTTACCCATATTCTTTCCCATGTATCCAGCATT